TATATATATATATATATATATATATACATATATATATATATATATATATATATATATATATATATATATATATATATATATATATATATATATATGAAGCTACGATCATACTTTGGCAACACTCTATCTAACATTATCTTGCGAATACGAATAATGTTTAGGTTGTCTTGCAATTGAGTGGCGGCACCAAACGAAAAGACGACCAAACAGAAATGAACAAAGAGTTCATTTATACAATATTATATAATATTACGCAAAAATATTACCGATTATTCTGTTGTGAATAAATAAGCTTTTTTCCTCATATTATTTGATTAACTTAAAGCAAAACATTTACCATCAACCAGTGCATCATTGTCAAATGTTACTGATGGGTATAAATGAAAGTAAGATGTTATTCAATTCACCTAGAAACCTTAAATCAGCTGAATGATTTTATTCTCATGTTTTTTTTTTTATTAATTCCAGCCAACTGACATGTTATTTCTTTGGAACTTGCAATATGGGAAAATTAATTTTATTCAAGTATTAAGATGATTTTTCAGGAAGAGCAGTACAGAAGGATATATTATAAAACTAAGGGGAGTCTAAAGTGGTATTCATTTCAAAGATTAGTATGAGGCTAAATTCAACCAAAATACGTAGAACAACTGAGCTAATTTTCAGTTATACACATGATAGAACAAAATGGAAATGTAGGTATCTGAATGATTTGATTTGCAAATGCTTTATTCCTATTAATTTGTCCGTCAAACTGAGAAATAATTTACCATCAGCTTAACAATAAAAATAAAACTTGATAGTGGTACTTTATGTATTTATGAACAAAGCAGGTTAACCTCACATGATATAAACGAAATTGAATCCTGGGAAATAAATATGACGAAAGCACACTGTATTTCAAAATCTGGTTTGAAACGGTTGAAACTCTTTATCAATTTGTCAAAGAAAAAGGTCAAATTCGACCTAAGCCTGACAAAGAAGGAATTGAGAACAATAACGGGTCGCCAGAGCGGGCACTGTGTCTCAAGAAGATGAAATTAGTGGACGATTTCACCTGCTGGCTGTGCCTAAAATATGGGGAAACGGCTGAGCACGGTCTGTTTCATGTGAAGCGTTTATATTTTACGAGCATTTGAAACTAAAACAGGTGAAACTTAAATCTGAAGACATTACTAAATCTAACCCTAAAGAATTTCATATAGGAAAAAAATATGCTTTTAAACCATTACACGAATTTAATTGGCTGTCTAGATAAGCTAAGGGGTATTTAACCAAAATTTAACATTTCATATACAGGGTCTTATTTAAGAAGTGTTTACTATCCCTTAACATAACAATAATAATAAATAAAGATAAAAATTACAGGACCTATTTAATAACAACAGTGAAGTAAAGTGGTATTTTATCCTGATTATGTTAATTTTCTTTACTTACAATTGAAGAGGTCCTCATTCAGCGTTTAATAATTCCTTATAGAGCCACCCATTCAATTTTTTTTTTTTTTTTTTTTTTTTTTAGTATTAATACAGTCTGCCACACTGAAGGGCATTGGTACTAGGGTTATAGTATTCATTCACACAATATTTACATGAGAAAGGAAAATAAATAAAAATAACCAAGTAAGAAGATAAAGAAAAAAATATATAAATAAAAAGATAAAGTAATATACAAGATAAGTAAAATAACAGAATAAAGCTGAATGATAATAAAATAAATAATATGCATTCACACCTATGTACAATATTTACATTGGCCCAGGGAACTCTAAATCAAGCTTTGCCCCCCAATTCTGGAAGTCAAAGCAGGACTCCAGGAGATCCCAGTGCTTCTCTCCCAGCCGTATCACTGGTATAACCATTCAATTTAAAGTGGATTTTTTATCATTTATATATATATATATATATATATATATATATATATATATAAATGATAAAATATATATAAATATATACGTAAATATATATATATATATATATATATATATATATATATATATATATATATATATATATATATATATGTGTGTGTGTGTGTGTGTGTGTGTGTGTGTGTATATATATTTTAATTATTTAAAATTATGAACTTCATTTCTACCTCAGGTGATTAAATGAAGAAACTATTTCGTTAAAATATTTTATTTATATTTTTTAATACAACTGTAAAAATCAATAACAATGAAGTTGGATTGTATTGTGTTTTAAAGAATCGGTAATATTTTAATGAATTTTAAACTCTATTGTTCCAAAAAAAGATTTAAACAGAAAAAAAAATATTCCGACTTTTTCGGTTTCCGCTCAGAATATCAAACAAATTGTCATTTGGCAAGCTATTATTTCGGCTTATGTGCTGATTACACAAGTCACATAAAAAATGAAAGTTAGTTCACGATAAAGAACTTTTATATTTTATGCCTGGATATTTAACATACATACGAGACATAGAGTACTAAAATTATGAATGAAACATTAAAAAATATACCCATATAACAAATGAAATTGTTTGGTCATGTGGCACGTATTTTTTTTTTTTTTTTTTTACTAAACTTAAGGAACAACTGGTATTTCTAACCTTTTAAATATTCATATTAAAAAGACATAGTATAAAATAGCACTCCATCCGGTTGCTTAAATGGTAACTACCAATATCCAACTAAATCCAAATCCGTATTACGAAAATATCATTGGCGACTACCAATATGGATTCAGAGGAGGAAGGAGCACGCTAGAACAGATCTTCACCCTAAAAAAAGTACTAGAAAAACGTTGGAAAGTAGCTCAGGATGTCCACGCCTTAGTTTTCGATTTCAAAGCAGCGTATGACTCGGCGGACAGGCGGACTCTCATTTGAAAATCATAACTGAACAGGAAGTTCCTGGGAAGTTGGTGAGATAGACAAAGTCGTGCACAACTGATCCTAAATGTCGAATCCTAATATAAGGAGAAGTTTCTGAAGCCTTCAAAGTTTGAACTGGCTTACGCCAGAGTAATGGATTCTCACCGATATTGTTCAACTCAGAGCTGGAAAAGGTGATAAGAAAAACACTACTTAAAAATGGAGGGATGTACTTCGGAATGAATTATAAAATCTCTGGATATGCAGATGATATAGCTGTCCTTGGAAGAGATCGAAAAGACATTGAGAAATTCGCGAAAATTCTCGTAAGAGAAGCAGCAAATCGGCTTACTACTACAACAAATGAAGATAAAACAAAATATATGATAATAATAAGCCAAAAACCCCACCCCAAGAACAGGATCTGCGTAGAAGGGAAATCGTTCCCGAGAGTAGACTAATTCCAATATCTCGGCTCCACATTAACCTCAATGAATGACCAACGGTCGGAAATTGACAAGCGTATAACAACTGTAAACAGAGCATTCTTCTCTCTTTCAAAGGTATTTAGATCCCGAAAAATGTTAAATTGAGGGTGTACAATACTATGAAAAACTAGATCTCATGTACGGTTGCGAGATCTAAACCCTATCGAGTACCCTAGAAAGAAGTATTAAAAGATTTGAAAGGAAAATTCATCGCACGAAAATCGGAGCGATCTGCGATCAAATACTAACGCATGAAAGAGAAAAAACTAATAAGGAGTTGCTTATAGAAACTGGTCAATCAAAATCAGATGATATGAAGGCAAAGAGGTAAAATTTGGCATGGCATGTAGCTAAGAGCAATCCTTGTGGATGCCTCTACACAATAATGAATGCAACAATAGAAGTGTTCTTAGATCATGTGGAAGGCCAAAAGCCAGATAGATATATATATATATATATATATATATATATATATATAAATATAAAATCATCAAAGATGCAATAAAGCTGCATACAGATAACTCTAAAGAAATAGCCTAAGATAGGAAGAGATGAAGAAAGATGATCAAGGCGGCAAAAGGTTTACAAGATGTGTAATACAAACACAAAAAAATATATACTAATATTAATTATTAATATTAATATAATATTATTAATAATAGATAAGTTAAACCACTGAATCATATTCACGTCATATTATTTTCATCTCGAGCAGAAAGATGATAAATTTTCCCAACTTCCCTTTCAAGATTCCCATTATTTCTGAAAGGTTAAATTCTCCGCAAGTGATATCTGGTTTCGTCCTGTCAAACTTTGTATTATGCTACTAAGTACTCTATTATTCATTGATAGATGCAGTTTGAACATTATATTTTTACATTTTAAAATACATGCAAACCAAATGAAAACTAAACGGATATACTATTTCAATATCCCAAACTATAAATCATGAAATAAGGAAGTTAGAAATATAATAAAATTATTTACTATATGTTAATATTTTATAACTTATAACATGAAATTATCCACTTTCTAGGTTTTTATATATATAGTTATTTGGTTTCTATTTTCTCATTGCTTAATTTTATCAACAGTTTACCATTTAGAATAAAAATGAGATATATTTCAGGTTGTCAGGATATGAACTCGGTAACTGCACCAATTTTCCGAATTCCAACATCCATTAACAACACTAAAATGATGAGGTTATTAAATGTTTTTACCATAGAAAATTATTATTGATATTATTGTATTGTTTTCTAGTTTGCATATTATTCAGTTAAAGATATTTAGGTTCCAGCTCAAAAGTAAATTGAAAAGTAGCACGAGATGAGGCCCGGGCCCGGTTTTCAAACACTTGTTTGACAAGCTAGTCTCCCTCGTCTACAAATTGGGCCAACAAATAAATGCGCTACCCATGTAAAATTTCCCCAATATTTTTTTTTCCCCTTTCAAGCACTCAGCCATATTCTGTTTAATTTATTTATTTGTTTATTTTTTTAACAAACAATTGAATGACTTAATGTGAAACGTGATTGGAATAATATTATAATAGTATTAATATCTTGCGGCTTAATGAGAGAAAGGGGAACAGACAATGGAGAGAGTGCGAAGTTTGTAATGGTGACAAACATGGATGGATGAGATACAACTGACAGTGTATGACTTAGAACGTACCTTGGAAGGTATCCATGAGTTAGTGGGTTGTGTAACGGACTCTGGTACAAGTAGGACTGAGCCTCTGGGGCCACTTTCTTTATCAGCCCCCCTCCCCGCCCCCCTCCCCATCGGCACTTCCCTCCACGCCAGATCATCTTCACAGTCACAGGTCCCAAGTACACCGGCTTAGGAAATTGGGTCAGTCGAACGCCACCACATACGTTTCATGAATAAACTCTTCCTTCTGTCGTTTTCGCTCGCCTTTTTTACTAGAGGATTTCCGGGCTGGCAGTAAAGAGGTTGGAGTTCCCTTTGGGCACAGGGCATGTTTGGTAGTTGTTTACACAGTTCTCTTTCTGTTCACTACCGAATGAAATATTTGTTCATTTAGGAAAATTTGGACAAAACTGGATCTGCCATGCCCTGAATGTTTTTCCACCAAACGAGTTTTCTCCAATAATTATTTTATTTTCTGTTATATTGTGTTTACTTGACTTAATATTTTTTGTTTCGTCAAATTTATGCTGTAGAATTTTAATTTTTCATATTTTTACTGTGTTGGCACTAAGGATGAATTCGAATTGCGTCCCACCAACCAGTAGGACAAAACGTTCGATTCTTTGAAGATATACTTTTCACACAAATATTTCCTCGCTTTTGCGGATTCAAAGCTGAAGGTGGGGGACAAGTCCAACCACCTGCTGTTCTAATTTTTTTTTTTTAATATACTTAAAAACTGTCTCGTAATTCTGGCTGTATTCAAGAGAACCGCTTGCTAAGCCTCTCTTAACACATCAAGGAGTAATTCCAAGCCGTCCGTACCTGCCACTACTGACTTTGGGATCTGACCATTTGTTGTTATTATTATTATTATTATATTACCACAAATTGAAATGGGGTAATATTCTGTGTAATTAGTCGAACTTATTGGAATAGCGAATACATTTAGTGGTTGGAGTAGCACGAAATAAATCAATTTTTTTTTTTTTTTTTTTTTTGTATTTTATTTAATTTTCTATATTTTATTTAATGTTTGTATTTTACTTAAGTTTTTGGATTTCATTCAATTCGTGTATTTTATAACTTTTGTTTTTGTTAAAATTAATTTATTGTATTGTGCATATGATATGAATGCGCCTTATTTAGCTCTAATAGTTATTGCCCCTAAATGTGGCAAAATGTATTATTTCTTAATAAAAAGATATTTGAAAAAAATTTATATTAAAAGAACTTATATATTTCCTTATGCGGGGCGTATCCAAATAAGATTTTTGTGAATTCCATAGCTTAAAATAATTTCTGTATATTCCTTCTGTCGATTAGGTTTTTATAATTATTTTACAATTGTTAAATTTATGAAAATCTATGGACATGCAAGATGGAAATCCGAAAATAAATTACCTAAAATACAAATTATTCAAACAATTTTTGTTTTTTTTGGTATAGCGTATTTACTGCTTATTAATCAACAAGATACTATCAATAGGATTAAGTTACGATAAATATATTTTATTTATTATCCTGGTAAACATCACTAAATCATTCAATGCCTTATTTCAGTAATTTATAGTTAAAATTCATTTAGTGTGTATATGTTTATTGTAAATGATTTATCATACCTACGAAATTCAAAAAATATACTTCTTGAATTTTATCTAAGGCTAGTTAAATAAATTCCTGACACTTATTCAGTGGCGGAAAGAGTGCCAATTCGAGCTCTCTAAAAGGTACGACGGGACCAATTTGGAACTTTTGTGGGGATTTCGGATCCAACTCGACCTATCCCGGCATTAAGGAGCTGGTAGATCGTTTGCCACATCTTAACCAACTGTCTTCATCTCTGTCTATCTGGGCTATATGTTTCCAGTTATTTGCATGCAACTCGATGATGATTCGCTGTACTCATCTGGTTTTTGGCATCATATTAGCAGTTTGTTGTTATCAAATTATATTTAACCAAGATCTGCATTTTGATAAAATTAGGAAGGAAGTGTTATTATTTTTAATTTAACTTAAAATTTTAATTAATTATTTTTAAGTTCATTAAAATTTTAAGAATTTCGTTTTACTATTTTAAAATAATTTAGTGATATGTTCATCACTATTATTGTTAGCTTTATCTTTGCAGAATTTTGAGAAAAATATCAATATCACAAATTTTGGGTATTTCAGATCAAGTCATGGTCGGATTCGGCCGGCATGCACCTCCACACCACCTCGCGATAGCTTTTTTTATTACATAGTAAAATTTTAAAAATATGTAATTCATTTACACACTTTCAAAATACAAAGTTACTACAGCTATTATTAAATGAGTTTTTTTTCTTACAATGCACATTACACAACCATATGCGTCAATCTCTATGGGAAGATCGCGTCCCTCCTCACAAATGTTCAAAATAGTCTCATTCTTCCCGAACAAAACTTTGAATGGTCCCGTATATTTGGGTCCTGTAATAATATTAACAATAATTCTAAATAATAAATCAATAAAAAATAAATAGATGCAGTGGTGTTAGAAATATTAACAATAGTACAATATTATAAACAAAACATTAAGTGGCCAACTATTTTTTAATTCTTGCATCCATACCAGATGAACGTGGCCATCACTTTTAGATTTTTCAAGACATTTTCCAAAAGTACTGCCTACGCCTGTTCTCATCTCCTTATCCCAGTTCGTGGTCGGCCTATCTCTCGCTCTAGTGTGCTGCCTTGGCTGCCACTCTATGGTTATCACAGTCTTCTTTTGTCCTGATGATATGGTCAGTTAATTTTCGTTTTCTAATGAAGACCATCTCTAAGTCCAACAACTGGATTTTACTTTTGATCCTTAATTTGGTTTTACGTTATTTTCTACTCCATCTGGACAAACGACTCACTTGGAACACCCATACCAGACTGAAACGACTAGAAACTGCACGACGTTTTTGACTACTGCAGCACTTACTAGAAAATCTAAACTCCCAACTATTTACAAAAGACTCAAATATATTACTATAGTAAGGCCTATTTGGACTTACGGGATCGAGCTTTGGGGCTCTACTAAACCATCAAATTCCTCTCGTATCCAATCCCTACAATCCCAAATCCTTCGTAAAATCCTCAATGCTCCATACTTTGTCACAAATAAATTCATCTATAACGACCTTAATGTATCATATGTTTCCAATTTAGCTCAATCCAGATACCTATCCTTCCATAACAAACTTCTGAACCATCCGAACCCTCTTTTTTCCAGCTTTGCTTCCTCTTCTCTCCCTGATAACCCTCCGAGGCGTCTGAAAAGAAGATGGCCTCGGGAACTTATAATATAGAAATATAATTGGAGTGTTACCAATGGGTAGTTTCTCTTCATGCTGTAAATGTCACGTTACTATTTTCAAATTTACTTGATGTATTTATCATTTATACAGTTGTAAATTTCATTAATAAAAAAAAAGAGTTATTCCCAGCATATGATGTTCCGTTTTCTTTTTCGTTCTTGAACACATTTTTCATGTTACTACGAAGATTTTTGCAGCTTTATATTTTTTCTGTATCCATTTCTTCATATAATCCGACTTTAACTCATTTTATCGCTGTTTTAAACTGAGTACAGCGACTGTTCAAGTCGCAACCCACCTATGTTGACCCTATTTCTTTTCCTAGTTTCTCTACGAACTTAGCACATTAAAGGGACAAGGCAGTAGCTCTTGTTAATGTTATTTTTGGGTCTCTGTTGTATCTTTGAAGGTTCAGTACCACCCCAACAGCTACTTCCTATATCACCTTCTTTAACCACTTGGACATTATTTTTTTCTTTTATTTGCTTTATAAGGCAGTTTTGTTGTTTTAGTTACTGCAAAAGTTTTATTTCCATTTATGATATTTTCCCACTTATTTTGTATTAATATTAATGCGTCCAAAACACCCTGTTCTGACCACTATGTAGTGTTATGTTAATTTTATTCTTAAGGGACTTTGTCCCAGAATAATAAAAAAGTTTTTCATTTCATTATTTACTATGTTCTTTTTACTGGCTATTATAAAGTATTTATCGTTTGTGGTTGCTCTGTTCGGACTGATCCATTTTCAGTTTAAAAGATGTTTAAAATAAGTGTTCATAATGTACATTCTGCTGCTTTCTGATAATTAGATCAATCTTTCATATCTTTCAATCCTGTTACCGATTCCATGTGATCTTAAAGAATTCTCTAAATCCACCCTTTGATCCACAAGGTTCCTCCTTATCTCACATCCTCCTTTCCATCTATATCAATCACCCCCCCCCCCTACCACCTGTATGCCAACAACGTCAAAATTTATCTCTCTCTCAATCCGGATGATTCCTCTGGTTCAATCTGAAAAGTCCATGAAGGTATTAACAGAATATGTACTTGGTAAAATCTGAATAGGCTCACTTTAAACGCCGATAAGACAAAATCAATCCTGATCGGATCTCCGTCACTCCTCAAATCAATTCTTGTACCTTCCAATTTTCTGCTTGGCAACACATCTATCTCCTTCCATATTACCGTTAAAAACCTTGGTGTCACCCTTGATCGAACTGCCTCCTAGAAACTACACATTTCCCGCCGTAATATTTCCACCATGAAACAGTTTAACCATATATGCTATCTCCTTCCATTCAAACCCATTAACTACGGGTTTCCTCTTTTGTTTTCCTCGACTTTGACCATGACTGTATGGTGGAATTTCTTGATTATTGGAAGCCAAAATTAAAAGCCTAATGAATTGCTTAATACGTTTTGTTGTTTTGTGGTTTCTAGAGGTACGCGTTTTATCCAGTACTACATCGAGTTGAAGTGGCTCAATCCATCATACCGCCGCACAGTGTGCTGATTCAGGTAATCTAGCGGGACAAAAGTCGAAATATCGATAGTGAATATTTTTTAAGAAAATGGCATAAAAAGTCTGTTTATACATCGCAGCAGTTAGGAAAAGGAGAATTATTCGAAACTAAAACAAACAATATGAGTAAACATGGTTAGAAACATTGAAACTAGAGATCCATTTATTCAGGTAATGCAGCGAACGCACAACTTCTGTTTGTAAATATT